AGATCACGGATTTTATGTACTGTGTTGAATCGGACCTGGATCTTGTGTTTATTCAGGATTTTGGAGATCTTTTTCGTGACCCCTGCAATGTAGGGTGAGGTGATGGTTTTGAGTGGCTCCACAAGAGGATCCTTCTTCATGACTGGAGTAATGGCTTTGCGGATTGTGTAGTCGGAGTAACCATTAGCCCTGAGAGCCTGGTGTACGTGCTTGAGTTCACTGGTAATGTGTTCCTGGTCGGAAATGCATTGGGCTCTATGGTATAGAGTCTTGATGAGGGAGTTCTTCTGGGATGGATGGTGGTGGGAATCCGGTTTCAAGTAACCATCTGTATGGGTAGCTTTCCTGTAGACAGAGTGACTCATTGAACCATCATGTCTCCTTTTAATTAAGACATCCAAAAGGGTAGTTTGCCATCTTTTTCGACCTCCATGGTAAATCTGATGGCTGGGTGTATGCAATTGATGTGGTCGCGGAATTGGTCTAGAGCAGGCTGGCCATGTGGCCAGATGACAAAGGTGTCATCCACGTACCTCTTCCATAAGGTCGGGCGTAGAGTGGCAGTCTGGATGGTGTCAGTTTCAAATTTTTCCATGAATACGTTGGCTACAACCGGAGATAGGGGGGAGCCCATTGGGGTGCCCTCAGTTTGTTTGTAGAAAGTTCCATTCAAGGTGAAGTATGTGTTGGTTAAGCAATGTCTCACCAGGGGGGGTACATCAGTGTGCAGTCCTTGATGAACCAGGTCTTCAATGATAGTGATGGTGTCAGGTACCGGGACTTTGGTGAACAAGGACACCAACAGCCTGGTTACCAAAACGAACAAAATCATCTCTGATTCAACAGCATTAATTGATGATACCAAACAGTTCTCGTTGAAACCCTCTGCTGACAAACCACCAAGATTATATGGCCTTCCAAAGATACACAAAGAAGATACACCCCTACGTCCCATCGTCTCTACTATCAACTCCCCCACCTATAAACTGGCACGTTTTCTTGCTGATATACTGCGAACTTTCACTGGAAAAACCACCTCTGCGGTACTAAATTCTACTCACCTGGTATCGACAATCAAAGGCATTTCCCTGTCCCCAGACGACCTGCTTGTCAGTTTTGATGTGGTGTCCTTGTTCACCAAGGTCCTGGTAACTGACACCATCACTATCATTGAAGACCTGGTTCATCAAGGACTGCACACTGATGTACCCCCCCCCCTGGTGAGACATTGCTTAACCAACACATACTTCACCTGGAATGGAACTTTCTACAAACAAACTGAGGGCACCCCAATGGGCTCCCCCCCTATCTCCGGTTGTAGCCAACGTATTAATGGAAAAATTTGAAACTGACGCCATCCAGACTGCCACTCTACGCCCGACCTTATGGAAGAGGTACGTGGATGACACCTTTGTCATCTGGCCACATGGCCAGCCTGCTCTAGACCAATTCCGCGACCACATAAATTCCATACACCCAGCCATCAGATTTACCATGGAGGTCGAAAAAGATGGCAAACTAAACTTTTTGGATGTCTTAATTAAAAGGAGACATGATGGTTCAATGAGCCACACTGTCTACAGGAAAGCTACCCATACAGATGCTTACTTGAAACCGGATTCCCACCACCATCCATCCCAGAAGAACTCCCTCATCAAGACTCTATACCATAGAGCCCGATGCATTTCCGACCAGGAACACATTACCAGTGAACTCAAGCACGTACACCAGGCTCTCAGGGCTAATGGTTACTCCGACTACACAATCCGCAAAGCCATCACTCCAGTCATGAAGAAGGATCCTCTTGTGGAGCCACTCAAAACCATCACCTTACCCTACATTGCAGGGGTCACTAAAAAGATCTCCAAAATCCTGAATAAACACAAGATCCAGGTCCGATTCAACACAGTACATAAAATCCGTGATCTAGTTCCATCTGTAAAGATGCTGTTCCAGACATACAGTACCCGGGCGTTTACAAACTAAAGTGCCTCTGTGGTAGTAGCTACATTGGAGAAACCAAACGACATATCTCGGACCGCATCCGCGAACATAAAGCAGACTTGAAACACGGTAGAACGAACTCCTCTGCCGTGGCAGATCACTGTTATAATTCAGTGGGCTCACATGACATTGACTTCTCCAAGACGGAGGTTCTTTGCAAACCAACCGGCTACCCTGAGAGATTCGTTCATGAGGCCATTCACATATACAAGCACAGAGACAATTTCAATGGAGAAGATGGATTCTGGCTTAGTAACCATTGGAAAGATGTTTTAAACCATTTCCGTTCTTAATTAATTGTATTTTACGATGACCTTCAGACCGCAGCTCTTTCGCTGGCATTGACTCTTAATACCTCTCACACCACGGTAAATGGTATGGTTTACAACATGGAGTATAACAGCGCCTCGCAGCTGTCTCTCTCCCCCTCCTCTGTTCCGACCATGGATGAACTCGTCCGTCTGAACAGGACCCGTAGCTATCCGTGTTGCTAAAGTTGAGGGTAAGAATCCACCCATTTTTCGCCATGTAGCATTGTGATATATAACGACTTATTGTTGGTAGCTTAGCTGATTGGAGAATATAGAGTTTATTGATAACATTGAGGTAATTTATAATTTCTCATTTTTTATTGGTTCACTATATAGTATTCATTGTATATTGTATTGTATACCCAGTTACTGTGATTGGCTCAGATGTGTAGGCCTTAACTTCAACATAGCCATTTCTGTGACCAGTCACAAGCTAATCACTCAGTTATTTCAATGCTAAATTCGCCTAGTTATTTTAATGCTAAATTCTCCTGTTTGATTTGTACTAGTTGCCTCGGTGAATGTATATGCTCTCACTTTAACATAGCTATTTCTGTGACCAGTTACAAGCTAATCACTCAGCTATTTCAATGCTAAATTCTATGCTAATTCCTTTGTCAAGGGGTGCCTTTGCGGATGTGTATACTTTAACTTTAACATAGCCTTTTCTGTGACCAGTCACAAGCTAATCACTCAGCCATTTCAATGCTAAATTATATGCTAATTCCTTTGTCAAGGCGCTTTGTTTCTTCTCACACAGCTTAAAGGTCGTGATCTCAGCGTGGCTTTCTCACTCCAGCGCTGTCCTCCAGACAGTCTCGTCCCCTTCACCTGATGAAGGCCGCTTGTGTTGTGGCCGAAACGTCGTGAGAATATTATTGTGTTATTTTATTTTATCAATTTATTATTTTATTCTCATTCTACGTGACTTTACCGAAAGAACCAAAGAAGATGAATCCTTGCAGTCACGAAATCTTTAAATCGAAACTCAGTGTATGATCAAATTTAATGAAATTACATTTTGTTTCACATAGCGCCGTTTGAAAATGACCATCATACGTCAATTTACAAGGTCCGCAGAATTGTCTACGCAAATGATTAAATACCTCCACTGTCATTGTCATAAATAAGACAATTAATAGTGTATAGCCCTTTAAGAATCCACTGCCAAACTGGTCATGAGGGTTGATTGACCATGTTTTATCACCTTATAACAGAAACTATAAAACTATGTTTATTTTACCAGGTAAGGCCCACTGAGCTATGTAGCTCTTTTTCAAAAGCGACCTGGCCACAAATGATAGCTCAACACAGTAGCTTATCGTGTGGACATTTATGGCAGCCAAATACTCTAAATGCATGTTTCTAAATGTGGAGGGAAAAACCGGAGCACCTGAGGAAAAATCCACGTGACCACGGAGCGAACAAGCAAACTCCAAATATACAGCAGGCGTCAGGGTCGGGATCGAACCAACAATCTCTTGTATGCCAAGCGAGGTAGTTAACATCTTGCCACCGTCTCCCCACATATATAATCTCACATTTCTGGTTCCATCTTCAGGGTGTCTCGAACAACGATCAAATATGTTAACTGACTTACAGCTGGGGACAAGATGTTGAAATGTTGAAATGTGGTGGCTCAAGAAACCATCAAAATTTATAAATTAGTACAAAGTGTTCTGTGTATTATCAAATTCTGCATAGCAAACGTGCTTTTTTAAACATAAAAACAAAATAACACGTGACATTCAATAATTTTATTTAAGGAGAGTATACCAATGTAAATTTGTACTTGAATTCTGTAAAATAAACTGGTAATCATATTACATAGTATAATTAATCAGTCGCCATGTATTTTGTTCTCAAGCCTGATCCACGTGCAAGCGAATAGGTGTTTCCACTTTTGTTTTTGGCATTAGAACATCCAAGTTAAAATATATGCCAAAGTGTGGCTCAGTGCCTGTCAGTTGCCCAGCAGTGGATTCTTGAAGCCATCTATATGTCACACAGGACAAATACTCGTTCTTGTAGTTGGCCAAACATTGTGATACAAGATCCTCCTGAAAAAAAGAGTCTTTAGACTCAGTGAAGCTTTCTTGGGCACGTAAATATTATCATTGACATCGCTCAAACTGATATCGTTCAACACACTTATTCGGCTGGGGGCACCGCGGTGGCGAGACGCTAACTTCCTCGCCTGGTATGCAGGAGGTCGTGGATCCGATCCCGACCCTGATGCCTGTATATTTGGAGTTTGCATGTTCTCCCCATGGTCACGCAGATTTTTCTCTGGGTCCTCCAGTTTTTCCCTCCACATTTAGAATCAACATGCGTTTAGATTATTTGGCTGCTATAAATTTCCACACGTTCTGTTTACGTAACAACCCTTACTAGCTGGCTGTGTCGGGTGGTGGCGGGTTATATCGACACATTTATATATTTACGCGATCTAACGCCAAAAACCTCTATTATGGATCAGGCGAGTGATATGTAAACCCGTTTTGTTCCTCCATATTCACCAACCTGCACTCATCAGAGTAGTGAAGTATAGTCAAACGAACTGCTATGACTGAAAACGGTGTGGGGAGGCATTCGTCCAGGAGTAGATTCACACGGGGGAATGTTTTACGTATGCATTCATATTTGCAACCTGACGTTTGGGCCCACCCTGTGTTCACGTCCAAGCCTCCCTGGCCAATCATCCGGACCTGGTGAAGGTGCACGTGAAGCACCCTTCGGAGGCGTCGGTGCAGATTCACCAGGTGGCCCGCTTCTCCGAGGACGTCACGCTACAGCAGCTGCTGGCCGACAAGGCGCCTCGCCCCGAGCAGCACGTGCCCCAGCCGCAGCCTCGGCAACAGCCGCCGCAGTTCCCCCGCGTGGCGCACCACCAGCCCATCCTGCGCCAGGAGCCGCCGCAGCAACCACACATCCAGTACGTGCAGGACAAGAGCGTTGGCGAGCTGGACAACCAGGCGTTCCACCTGCCGGGCTACGAGCAGCCCAGGATCCCCGCGGCTACGGCGCCGCTGGGAAGGTGCTTCCGCGAGTTCAGCGGCCACCAGGTGACGGGGTGTGGGGTGAACGGCCGGACTTTGTTATTGTGGAAGAGACGTTCGTTATTGTCGTGGGTTCGCACTTTCCGAATGCAAGTTGTAGCAGTTGTTTTGCCGCATTAACATTCAAGATACACGTTGCTTCTTGTTGATAATGTCGGTTGTTGACCCAGGAGGGCTTCAGTGAGTCGCACGTTTCTTGCTCAGCAGGTGGGTTCTGAATTCGATGTGTGAATGATACTATTGATGAGTGCTTGGCTCCATGCGGGAGGAAGCCAAAGTAATCAGAGAAAACCTACAGACGTGAACACTCAAAATTGCGATATCCTGGCCAACTTTACAGCCTCATGACTACAACACCTGAAAAGCCCTGGTGGTCACCCATCCAAGCACATACTCATCAGATTTAATCCTGCTTAATATTCGAGTTCTGATGGGATCAAATGCATTCGTCGTGATATGATCGTGTGCTTCTCTGTGAGTTTCCTAGATTTTTAAACTTGTTCTTTTTCCAAATGTTATTTTTATTATGCTATCAGCATACTGCTGCGAGGTGACATATCCATTGGTAACCATCTCAGAGTGGTGCATCAAACCATGCTAGAGAAAAACTAAAGGAAGAAAATATTACAATATTCCTTCTGAGACTCATATAAGTGGCATAATTTATCCACACACTTGCGGGTGTAATTCCCACCTACCCGGCTATAGATTTACATAACATGACAACGCCATAGTATTTGAGCTTGGGTGTGTTCAAATAAAGTAAAACAAAAATTTACGTGGTAATTATTTTATTGTGTGCAGCCACTGGTGACCACTACAATTGAGAACCTGGGTAATTCATGGGCAGCTACTTATATTCAAACCCAAGATCTCAGCAGTGCCAGCTGAGAGGTCAGAGTTGAGGGGTCAGAGTTCTGACCCCTCAGGTATCTGGCCACTTCCTTGAGTCGACCTTTTATAACCAGGACGTCGCCAGCTACAACCGAAGGAAATATTGTTGTGTCTGTGGAAAACATAACTCGGGACCATTCGCATTTACACGAGATCATTGCCAGGTGGATCTCAAAGCAACACATTTTGGATTAGAATCAGGCATGTGTTTACTTCTTAAGGAAACTTTAACATTCGCTTAGGTGGGTGTAGGAGACTTTTCGTTTTAATTTGTTCCTCTGTGTCCACTGGAGTGGCCGACTGTCTCATAAGATGCTACTTTGAGTTTGAACATGACCTTCACGTGGTCGTCTGGCATTAACGGAAGCAGTACCCAGAGGAGCCCTTTCTATCAGTAATCCGTAGAAGGAGATTGAACCTTTGAAGAGATGAGCGAACACCCAGGAGAGTTTGGGATACTTTAATAAATTGGGCATATGTGACACTGTCCGGGGATTTGCGCTGCATTTGAAATATCGGTCCCATAATGTGCTCTGCATCACCAGTATACATTACTGTTGTCAGTGGATACTCATTCATAATGCGTTTAAGTCAACGGTGATGATCATAACAAACCATGATGCTATTTGGAAACCTGCCAGGCAAACCGTTTCCTTGTTCTGGTACTTGGATCGTGCAAATGTGATGTTAATAATGTTTTTTGTGTGCGGAACATATGCATACGTGGTGTTTTGGAGACGCAGTGGCTATCACACTGCGGCTATGAACCCAGTGACCTGAGTATGAATCCCAGCCATGGCTAACATTGGTGGTAACTTATATGTGAACTGGTCCTGGGTTCTCCCTCACTAACCAGCAATGACCAGCATGCTGAAGTGTAGTTAAGTAAACAACACGAGTGGCAATTGTATGCTGAAAACTCTATATCCAGCAATGGATTTCACAAACAGCTGTAAAGTATCGCTTGTTAATTTGCATCAATATCTACCGGTACTTTTGGCTGTTTCAAAAGCTTAAACATTTTGCTGGGTTTTCTTGAGCAAAGTCAAACCTCAAACTAAAGTCGCTATCAGGATTTGTTTTCTCTTTGTACAATTAATTGTGATTTAAACAGCTTTAAAGGTTCCATCCAACTCGCACATATTTGCATTCCTAGACTCTTGAGCGGTAGATTTCTCCACTCTAGCCAAAGTAAATGACATAGGAGTGTAAAAACAATAACGATGTTTATTTTTCCACATGAGCTTTGTTGATTCCTAAGACTTTCAGGAGGGCTCTGCATTGGGATATTTAGCCAATCTCTTAATAGGTGCTTAGTGATTCATCTATCATATGAACGCACTATAATGTGCTGGATATTAGTGGCAGTGGGGGTGATTTTAAGAATCTATTTTTTTTCCTATTAACATTCCATTGAATGGTAGCACCTCTAGTGGCTGCAGGTGTTACGTCAACCCACTACTTACAGCAATTAGAAAGACATTGACGTGTACACGTGCCATCCGGTGCATGTGTTGTGTCCTTCGGAATATTAATCAATGAATCAACGTGTCGTTTGTTGTATACCCGTTCCTTGTTTTGATCACCATGGGCAGGCACCACTCATTGCGAGCCAGCGTCCATGCAGTCAGCATTGTGTATGTGTTTCAGGAACATTCCTATGCCCCTATTCTTGGTAATGGCTTGGCTCAGGCGTGGCTGTGTCTCAAATGAGCCGACTCAACTCAAGTCGTCTCTAGCATAGTTCCAGCCATGCGCAGGATTTCCATGAGCTCAGCCTGAACCAAACCTGGGCTCAGTCACTCTTTGTGTCTTTGCAAGCAACTGAGCGGCTCAAGCCTGAGCTGAGCTGTAACTATAAATATGGCTCTTAGTCAGTCGACGGTGCTGCTGAAGTCTCAGTGTGTGGATCCTGTTTAGTTATTCTCTCAGGCTGGCTAGGCCAAGTGGCGGCTGATGTGGGGCTGGGTGGTGGCGATCGATTGCTTTGTCCACGCATCGTCGTTGTTGTTGAATATTTGCATAGCTAACTTCAAGAGAATTGCCACTGTTGTGAACACTCGAGCCTCACGGAGCGTGCACATGTGTGGCGATGCGCGCGTGCGGCTGCAGTGTCTGAAGCCGCTGCTCGGGTTGACGAGGCAGGACGACTGCTGCGGAAGCATTGGAGCTGCGTGGGGGACCAATGCCTGCACACGGTGCCCTCCCAAGGCTGGTGAGTGGTTTGTGATGTTCGAATGCACGAGTGCATGAGTGAATTTCGTCGCGGTAAAATATTGATTTAAGGACACACCAGTGTGTACCACTATTAACATTATCATCATCGTCATCATCAGCCATGATCAGTCCACTGCTGGATGAAAGTCTCCCCGACCCACCATCATCTCTCTTGATTCTGCTACTATATGGAAATTGCAATATATTTGTATTGTGTAGATGATTTTGATAAAATTTCACCATTAAATCATGCCAACATTTAGTTATAGAAATCCATGTTTTTGTTTGGATTTCGTCCAACTTTTATCCCCAGGGGCAACACTACCCTTCAGCAGTTTTGTGGCTCCCACCAACTATTGTTATGGCCCAGACATTCTGTGGACCTGACAAACTCTGCCAAGCCTGAAAAACGAGATGCTGGCAACTCCCAAACAGCATGGTCCGCACGGCCGCCTGTTGCCATGAGAAAGAAAGTGCCACACACTAGGAATATACACGCACGCTGAGGTGGTTAAAGGATTGATGGCAAATGCTTCAACCGTCGAGGCAACCTCGACAGCCCATTTCCAGGCAAGCGTTGGGAACAAAAACTTTGCGTTTTTGGTCAAAAGCACATCGCAAGCCACGCACGCTTCTCGCACTGACAAAGAGGCAGCATGTGACTGCACATTTGGCTGTTGGCATCTCCTGTCTTTGCTGAGAGCTTCTTTCATTGCTGGCATCTCTGGACATTGGCAACGTGTAAGAAACTCATTCTAATTCAAGTGTCTCTAAGTGTCTGCCTGTTTCTTGGATAGACTCAGTGCAATGTATAATCTGTCGTGAACATCGCCAATTGGTTTCCTGCATTCATCGTGGATGTATTTAAATGTTTAAGTCTGCACAGCAATTATGTCAGACCTGTATTCGCAAAAATATTATTCTAACAATATCACTGTCTTGATTTGGTGCTTTCGTGACTGCAGGAATTATTCTTTGGTTCTTTTGGTAAAGTCACGTAGAAATAGAAAATAATAAATTACATAATATCATATGACGTTTCGATTGCAAAGCAAGCAATCATCATCAGGTACAAATGAAAGAGAAACAAACCTAGTACATTTTGATTTAAAAGCTTTCGTGACTGCAGTAATTCATATTCTTAGTTTTTTCGGTAAAGTCACGTTGAAGGGAAACAACAAAATAATAAAATATATATAACAATAAAAATATATATTTTATTATTTTGTTGTTTCCCTTCAACGTGACTTTACCGAAAAACCTAAGAATATAAACCTAGTAAACTTAGAAATATAATGCAACACAGCGCAGAAAGTCGGTTGACACAACAGTCAACACCCTACCTGGTTGATTACGTCCAAGAGACACAGAACCGGAGACACATACACAGACACACAAGCGGAAAGAGTTAACACAGAGACACAGAGAGAGAGACACATGCATGGGCACACAGAGAAACAACGTCTCTGTGTCGAGGCCTTAAATAGTTAGAGAGGGGGTACAGAGAGAGAGAGAGGGGGGGTTAGAAGAATTAGCACGTCAATGGGAGATCCCGCAATGAGAGATCCACCACCAACGCTGGAGGAGAGAGCAACAACCGAGGGGAGACAGAGACGGAGGCAACACTAAATCAAACTAACTTAGTAAAATGTATATATACTGTGCAGTGTAGACTGTGTACACTGCACAGTATGTATATATACTGTATATATATCAGCATATATACATGCAAAGTCCAGGCAACGTTTCTCCACCAAGCCTTCAACAGACTGTCGGGGTCAGCCCTATTCGGCAGCACCGATGAAGGCCGCACACTACGGGAGATGGTGGTTGGCCAATAAAACCCCATCCGCCGTTGTCTCCTGAGTGCTGATGTTTCCACACTGCTGCAAGTAGGCATTTAATGCTGAGTCGACCTAGGGGAAGCCCAGGACCAGTTAAGTTAATAGCACATGCACTAACCACTGTATCACCGCTCCCCACAATATAGACAAAATACAAAGATCCCCTGTATAGCCTTGAACAGACTGTTGGGGCAGGTGCTGTTTGCGAGCACCTATGAAGGCCAGCACTGTGGCACACGAGGGGGTCAGTGGCCAACACCACGCCCGGCCGCCTTTGTCTCCTAAGTGGCACACCACACTAGGTACAAATTTGAGGCTGAGTCACCTAAGGAAGGTGTAGCACCGGTTCAGATAATTGTTACTGGTGTTGGCCATGAGCGGGAATCGAACTCGTGTCGCCGGGTTCGTAGCGTAGCGCACTAACCGCTGTATCACCGCTCCTCACATTACAGACGTAAACGCATACACACACATCAGCTTAGTGTAACATCAACATTAACAATTCAGCTGCACTTATTCCTATGACTTCATTTCAATTCGATACAAATTAAACACGTGTTCAATTTTCTTTGGTTCTTTCGGTAAAGTCATGTAGAATGAGAATAAAATAATAAAATAAAATAAGACAATAAAATTCTCCCGACGTTTCGGCCACAACACAAGTAGCCTTCATCAGGTGAAAGAACAGAACTGTCGGGACGACAGAACTGTCGTGAGAATTGTATTGTCTTATTTTATTTTATTATTTTATTCTCATTCTACGTGACTTTACCGAAAGAACCAAAGAAGATGAATCCTTGCAGTCACGAAAGCTTTAAATCGAAATTTACGTGTTCAATTCTCACCTTTATTAGTTTTTCCTTAAACTTGCTTGTTACATTTACTGCAGCCAACGAATTACATTAGGACACTCAGAATTGGATGGGTTTTTTTTTATTCAGATGGAATTCGGTAACAGCAAAAAAATACCCCTCTACTTCTTTCATACAACAAGCGCTCTGCATTGATTCCATTCTTGTGGTCACTACTGACGACCCCCCCCCCCCCCCATCATTGGCTAAAGAGCAGGGCCCTCAATGCTGGCATATGGTAATTGCCTTCGTACCTGAAGCCAAAAGTACAGGCGCCTAAATTCCGCACAGCGGGAGGGTCTGGAGACGTGAAACCCTTTCCATCTGTGGGGACCGCCTATCTGGCCAACGTTACATTGAGGGCTATGGTTAACTCTGCCTTACGTAATGCCATTCCTCCCGCTGCCACGGAAATCCCACAAGAGCTGTTAGCGAGCACCTATTGAGGCCACTGTGCCTGGCCACACTTTTCTACCCCCCGTGGTGGTGATGTGAATACATCACACGATGTCCTCATTTAAGTCTAGGTAAGGGCTTGGAACAGGAGTAAAATACTATTTGACACTGATGGATTGTGTGGCCAGAAATTGGACCCGGGTTTTTAGGACCATAGCTTATTACTATCGACTACCATCTACAATTTATATGCACGTGCACACATTCTCGCACGGCAATTTGAATGCACATGCATACATTGACACATACACGTAAAGCAATACGAACAAAGACAAACATCTCCCAATAGCCTCATAGACTGTTGGGACAAGGGATGTTATTGAGCACCCATTCAAGTCAGCCACAGTGAATAAGGAGGTAATGTGGCCAGCACCATGCCTTTGTCGCCTTGGTGCTAATTTTTACACACAGAATGTGAACACACTGCACCAGATACTAATTTAAAGTTGACTTTTAACTTAGGCTCAGAATTGGTTCATATATTGCTTGCCACTGATTTTAGCAATGGCTGGCAATCAAACTCAGTTTCAGTGTGCTAACCACCGTGCCATTGTTTCCGACATGTCAACACACACATATACACCGACGCAAATACAGACCAAAGTTAACTGCTAATAATTGGCCTTTTGTTTGCAAGTTAATTTTTTTTTAATCAATTTAAGAAACATAACCGTCAGTAGACAACATTGTCTTCATTTTAAACTAGGCAAGACCTACAAGTCTGCGTAATTGCACACTCACAGGAAACAGTCTCATCGTGTTCTTAGTGTGTTCTATACCAACCCCTATCCATATGCAAAACAAATCCACAGAGCAAACATTTTCAGTGCATTATTTGTGAGACGTCCATTCATTTTCGATCGACATACATGTGACGCATCGCGTGTTAATCTGTCCACAATACTTGTTTTATTCAATCTGCACTTTGGGAAGGGAGCCTGTAAAATGATAAGGGCTTTCAATGGAAATTCTCTTTCCCCTTTTTGGCTTTTTCTCAGCCTGACCTGTCGACTACTTTGACAGAAGATTCTTGCTTCAGGGTTCACTGTCATCATCTGCTAGTTATGTTTCATCCCCGTGCTCAGTTTTGATGGTTCGGCCAAAATTAAGATGAAAATCTGATCCAAAGAGTAATGGTCGGCTTAGCATGCAGTTTTAAGTGCATTGCATAGATATATACGAAAGCATTTGGAATAAATGACATGGGGACTGGTGTTTGTATAGTGGCCCAGTGGTTTTGTCATGCTGCTTGGATTTCAGTAATATATTCTACTTTGGTTTTGAAGCCAAGCACAAAACTTATATTATTAAACTCCAAGTTGCATTAGTTGTGGCTCTTTGGGTGCTTTCGCAACTCATGATTAGAATCAGCAGTTAAAATGGAGAATTTCAAAGATTACAAATGGCGCGTTTGAACTGTTATGTTTTTCGTTATTTGATTATAGGCACGGTGGCGCTCTCCTGTGATCAAGGGTCGGTGGATCACATCGATTGTTAGACTACCAGTCTATCCATCTGTGTGAATCTCCTCCTATGAAATAAGAATGTGCGTCCATCACAGACTAATTTTCACCCATCGTTCAATAAAGAGTTATGTACTTCACTCAGTTTGCTTCAATCGTTAGAGAGAAAGCTACAATAGCGCAGATTTTGATGAGTACCTCACGTTTGTGGGTGCTGGCATGGTTTAGCTCGCGAGACTTGATGAGGTCACCGGTTATATTTGACCTACCAAGTACAGCAGTTAGAACAATCGGGTGAGTTTCTTACCCCCCCTCACCTCCTCTCTATACCCAGCAATACAAATGGTTATATCACACTTATTTGATTGTCTTGCTGTGTGTAGT